AAATACGTTCTAAATGTGATCGGTACGTCCTACCATATCTAGACAAACCATATGCTACTTTTGATTCTACCGGTGATTTATATAGCTTTATAAGTATTTTATTCGGAATTTTATATTTAATTATAGAAAATTTTGCAAGCATACCACGAAGTTTATCACATACATGCTCAATATGCTCTTTCCAATTTAGGCGACTATCTATCACGAGTCCGAAGTAGTTCTGTGTTTCTACCAGGTCTATGGATTCGCAGTTACATTTCGTTTGGACCTGTCGCCTGTGAAGGCATTGGTGGTCATGCGCAATTAGCCTAGGTATAACCTTACTCCTATTTTGACTAGAGCTAATGTACATTAACTTAGTCTTCGCAGCATTTAAGACTAATCCTTTATCATGTGACCACTTCATAAGTATATTAAAATAGTCTTGTAGGAGGTTGCGAGTGTCGTTTATATTGCTCCCAGCCGCAACCAAGCAAGTATCATCAGCATACTGCTAAATTTCACATTGCCTGATAATATTAGCCAGACTGATAATATTTACATAGGTAATGTAGTGTAAAGGTCCTATTACGGAGCCTTGTGCAGTACCTACAGATACATTTACTATGTTGCTCATTGAATAACCCACTTTAACAACATGTTTTATAACGGTGAGGTAATCTTTACAGCACGACAGCAGTGGTCTTCTGATACCATTATCGTTCAGACTATGTAATAGTTGCTCATGACGAAGTGTATCGAAAGCCTTACTGTAGTCTATAAACACTACCAGTATGTGTTTTTTCTCATCTAGATGCTTGTAGATGCTATTTGTGAACGCCGTTAAAAGCTTAGTGGTATTTTTATGAGGTTTAAAGCCAAACTGTTTATTAGTCAGTACTCGTATATAATTTTTATCATAGAAGTTATAAATCTGTCTACTAAAATATTTCTCAGCTATTTTGTTAATGGTAGGTACTATAGTGATCGGCCTATAGTTATTATAGTCATACTTATTACCCTTTTTATGTATAGGTATAACAATGCCCGTTTTTAGTACTTGAGGATACTAGCCATTCCTAATACTTGCATTTATAAGATTTGCAATAGCTAATTTGACCACTGAGCATATTTTTTAATATCTATGGCTCGTATACCATCAATACCAGGAGTTTTATTATGGTTTAGTGACTTAATGATATTTTCCACTGCAGTCGTGTCTACCTCATAGATACATTGGCGTTTTCACGATAGATTGACCTATCCACTAGAGCTGTTATACATTTTGGTATAATTTATTGCAAATTTTCATCAAAAGTCGTAGCAAATGTGCATGCGATGTTTTAGCTGTATTCCTGCCATTACTGAAGGCTTTCAGTAATAAATTATCAATCGACTGTTTTATTCTGCCGGTTAATCTATTTAATATTTGCCAAAGACATCGTGGATTATTTTTATTATTATTTATTTCTAATTTTAGCCATTCATTTTTGCTTTTTTGAATTATTGAGTTTGCATAGTTTCTTGTTTTATTGTAGGTTTCTTTTAAAATCTTATTTTGGCTGTCCTTAGTCCATTTATTAAATAATTTATCTCTGTATTCCCATCCTTTTAAAGTTTTTTTATTCCACCATTCATTATTTATTCGATTAGATTTTATTTTAATTTTTGCTTTATATTCGCTGGTTTTATAACATTTTTAAAGTTATCATTTATAAAATTTTAAATTTGTATCGGACAGGTCATGGTATTCGTTTTTTGCCATTCGATTTCACTTAATGATTTTATTAAGGCATTTGTTATTAACACAAGTCTTGATTTTAGAAACGCCCTATATACGCGACCCCCACAGGCAAACACTATCGCGCGGTGATCCGCCTGTGTCATACCGATAGCAGCTATGAAAAGGTCTTGTGTATGGGATCTCGCGTTAATATGATCTATGCAAGATTTTCTTAACTAACTACCCCATATATCTATTCGTGTGTTAGCAGTAATCCCGCGTACAATACCCAAGCTGTACATTAAGTTAATATATTTACAGGACTATCGGAATTCAGGTCAATATTAATGTCACCTATTACATACAACTCCTTATTACAACAGTATTTTTACAAAAAACAGTGTTTACCGTTTTTAGGAGGACGGTACACGGCACATACTCGTAGGTCCGCAGAATAGCCCGAGTCGGAAATGATAGTGCATATTATACTCTCAAAGTGTTCTGCTAAAATTATGTTATTATTTACATAAGTTACAATAACACCACCCCTTCGGGCTTTTCGCAGACTAGTTAACATTTGGTATCCTGTAATTTGAAAAAGACAACTAATAGATTCCGTAATATTAGCCTCAGTTACCACAATGACATCTATACACTGGTTGGAAGTTATAATAGTGCGCTCAAAACAGGCAAAGTTTTTTTATCATAGACCGTATGTTGATATACATGCATAACAAGGTAATACCATGATTTTTGGGTAGAAATTTAAGAAAATTGTTGATATTTGTACAATGTAAGCATTCAAAAATTTTATCACTTAATGTTTCCATTCAAAAAAAGATAAAAATTAAAAAAATATATATAAAAGTACTTCTAAAATCATTAATAAAAATAATATATACCTCATTATTAAACTACTAATTTTGTTTGGCTAATATGTACACATAATTTAGAGTTCTTAGATAGTGTCTTTTACTTATATCATCCTTACGTGCTTTTACGAACCCTTTTTTAAACCAGACGTATTTGTAGTTAAGCTTCGATTTTAAATCCTGTTTCGCTAGCCATAGTATTTGTTTATTTAAGCGCAATTTACATTATGCAAGTTTCTTGCCTGTTGCATACAATAAAATTGAAGCAATCAATTATTACCTGCATGGTCTAAACAGTACGTAACATTTTGATCTTTTGCGCAAGTTTTGCTTGCCAAAATTTTCTTGATGTAAACAGCACATGCAAAAATTTCTTAGGCGATTCTTGCATTCAATTAGTTTTCTCTTCATTTGACAACATGAGTGCAGTAAGTGAAGGTGTGTTAATCGTTGCTGCTCTTCTGAGGCAAGAAATATTGAGAAATCGTCGTAAAAAGAGGTGTTGGATCAAAAAATGGATAGCAAGAAGAGGAGTTCTTGGAGCGTCTAACAATATTTGTGTAGAATTACAAATAGAAAATGAAGATGGCTTTAAGAACATGTTTCGTGTCAACAGAACCCAGTTTTATTATTTATTAGATAAAATTGGTTCTTCTATACAAAGGCAAAATACAACAATGCGTAATGCTATTCCTACTCGAACAAAACTAGAAATAGCATTAAAATATTTGGCAACTGGAGATTCGTTTGGTACACTGTCACAATTATTTAGAGTACCTAGGTGTACTATAAGTACATTCTTGGTCGAAGTTCTTGAAGCTATTTACTTTGTATTAGAAGATTTTATAAAGGTGAGTTCGAAATAAAACAGTTTTTATAATAGAATCATATATTTTCAGCAAAATAATTAGAAATTGTTAATTACTATTTATGCTCAAAACGAAAAATAAACAATATTTATTTATTATCAAAATATGAACTACGGAATCAGATATTTAATTAAAATAGAAAAAAAATTACATGTAACCATGTGTCTTCGCTGCCTTGTTTCGAATACGGGGGATTCTGGCATTGGAGTAGAGTTTTGTCGTTCTTTTTTCTCGAAGATCTTGCAGTTTATATTTTGATAATATTGCATGTATTTCGTCCTGAGCATGTATGCTATTTTCGGTATTCAAAATTCGCAATGAAGACCAACATATTTTCCGAAATTGTCCAAATCATCGTCTTTTTTTTTCAAGTCTTGCTCTTTTTTCAATATTGTCCAGTTTATCTAAGGCCGATTCTATGTAACCTGCTTTTTTAGTTGTTTTTTAGGCATTGGAAACGGAAGCACATCATCGACGACTTGTATATTTGAATTTATAACATTTTCAATATTCTCCGTATTTTCATTTTCAAAATATTCAAAAACTATTTCTTGTGATGCCAAGGACGTATCATTCTAAAAACATACATTTATTTCATTATTTTACAGGTGCCAAGATCTGAAGAGGAATGGAATCAAATAATAAGGGTCTTTTTTATAACATGGAATTTTCCTAACTGCTTTGGTGCCATTGATGGAAAGCATATAAACGTAAAATGTCCCCCTGGCACAGAATCAGACTTTTTTAATTATAAAAGTACATTTAGTATTGTGTTACTAGCTTGTGTTGATCACGATTATTGTTTCACATACATTGACGTGGGAGCAAAAGGTAGAAACTCTGATGGTGGAATATTTAATAATTGTACTTTAAAGAAGGCTATTGAAGAGAATACCATAAATTTGCCAAGTAATGCAGTACTTGTCGGAGATGAAGCGTTTCCTTTAAAACCTTATTTGATGAAACCATATCCTCGCCGTAACGATTTAAGTAGATAACAAAAAATCTATAACTACAGATTGTGTAGATGTAGGAGAATCGTTGAAAATGCTTTCGGAGTTTTAACATCCCGATTTCGAATTTTCGAAAAGCCAATCACTACAAGTATAGACAAGGTAGATGTCATAGTGAAAACATCATGTGCTTTACACAACTGGCTTAGGAAAACTTCACCTGCGTCTTACACTCCACCAGGTTTTATAGACGAAGAATGTCAAAGAAGTGGTCTTCGTCTTGGTACTTGGAGACAAAATGCTTCAGGCGGAACTTTTAAAAATATAACATCACAGAACAACAGGAATAGTACAAGGGAAGCTATAAGAATCCGTGATAATTATTGTCATTACTTTAACAATGATGTTGCTGTACTTTGGCAAGACAGTGCCATTTTTTAATGAAAAAAAAGTTTCACATTTATAATATTATGCACTTGACTGTACTTTAGAAAATTTACATAAATATATACTTACCATATTTGATGTTGTTTCTCTGTGTTCAGAAGTTTTCCTTAAAAAAGAATCCATTAAATTATACCAAGAGAGTTTGGACTTGTAAATATCAGCAGTACCGGAACCAGTGCTCATTGAATCTTTTATCTTTTTCCTTTCCGCATGATACTGCGTTCTTAAGTATTTTGTTTGTAATTTCCTTAAGTCCCAAACCATCAACTCCAAATTCTTGTGAAAATGCTACAAGTGCAGCACTACGTGCATCACGATTCTTGTAATTCACATTTTCAGTGTCCCACAAACACTTATGACTGCGATAAATCTCAATAAACTTTATTAAGTCAGCAGAACCAAATTTTAAAACTTTTTGACTCATATTTTTTAATAAACAGACTCTTTACAAAACCTTCTAACACTTGAATGAAAAATTTGACAACGCAAATACGAGCAATACTTGAAGCAACCCGCCAATAAATAGTACACGCACATACAACTCTCTATTTAGACAAGTCAAAACTTGAAACAATAATCTCCTGAACATTATTGTATTTATTTATTTATTTATTTATTTAGGTACACAAAACAGAATAACACCAAAACATGAACAATTGAAAATAATAAATACAAAGTTACAATCTGGATGGTATTCCAAAACATGTGTACACAACATGATATTAAGTAACGGTAACGATTATACAGCACAAATAATTAAAACCTTACTTATAAACATACTATATTTATGAACTTATGTTGTGGAAAATTTTGAAAAATTAAATCTTTATTAAAATAATGTTCATTAACCTACATATTTAACTATTTAAATTTAAATTTTAAGCCTTGAATGCCTTATTTACAAAATATATCTAATACAGATTTTTTGAAATTGTTTAATTTGTTATTAAAAATATCTATATTTTTACTATTATTAATCAATAAGTCATTATATAGGCGACACATTCTTACAAGAGGATTGTAATAGGACGTATTATTTCTATAAACTTGCAAAGCAAAAGTATTTAGGAAAGTATACCGACGATGGGGCTTAGTATTAATCTTGACAAATGAAAGGAGGGTGGGGGAATCTATAAAAGAATGAATAATTTTGAAAAGGCAAGTCATATCCTGATATTTACACCGAGTTTGTAGTGACATAATGTTAAACTTTTTTAGTTTCTCTTCATAGGAGGGCAGACTTCTATTTATACCGTACCTATAGCAGAGGATTGATAGAAATTTCTTTTGAACACGTTCAATACGATCTACGTGGACAGCGTAGTATGGAAACCAAATAATTATGTTGTACTCTAAAATACTGCGTACTAGGGAACAGTACAAAATAAGAAAGCTTCGTGGATTTTTAAAAGTCTTTGCAGTTCTAAATATAAAGCCAAGAAGTTTTGTACTTTTAGATATTACATGATCGTAATGATCGCGAAACGTAAGCTTTTCATCAAACAGTATTCCAAGATCCTTAACTACGGATTTTCTATCAAGTACCTGTCCATTTATTTTATACTCAAATGTAAGTCTGTGCTTCTTGTTACTAAATGATAACACAAAACATTTTCTCGTATTCAGATGCATTAGATTTTCCATACACCAATTATGAATGGAGTCTAAATTCGACTGAAGATTGAACGAATCGCTGAGTGTATCAATAACGGAAAATATCTTCAAATCATCTGCATACAACAGGCATGGACATGTCAATTTATCAATGAGATCGTTAATAAACGTAATAAAAAATAAAGGACCTAAATGGGACCCTTGTGGCACACCCGATGTCACAGAAACGGGTGAGGATTTGAAACCTTTTATAGTAACTAACTGACTTCTCCTGTTGAGGTATGATTCAGTCCATCTCAACAGACTCCCATGTATTCCGTAACATGCTAATTTAATACATAAGATATTATGATTTACTCTATCGAATGCTTTAGAGAAATCGGTATATATGCTATCAACCTGTTTTCTCTTGGCGAAAGCACTGCAAAGATAGTGTTTGTATTCAAGTAAATTAGAAGTCGTCGATCTGTTCTTAATGAAGCCATGTTGTCGAAGCGATAGGAAAGGTTGAATATGATGATAAAGAGAATCATACACCAATGATTCAAACAATTTACCAAGGCAAGACAAGATGCTTACGGGTCGATAATTTTCGCAATTTGATCTGTCGCCAGATTTATAAATCGGAACAATATGAGCTATTTTCCATACTGATGGAAAAATACCTGCCTTAATGGATGCATTAAATATAATACACAAGGGATTACTTAATTCCTTCCCGCATTTCTTAATGAATAAAGGAGGAATACCATCTGGTCCAGAGCCTTTTCTTTGGTCTAATTTCGCGATCTTTTGCTGTATGTGGTCTGGTGTGATTGTGATATCACTTAGGGTACAATTACTACGATTGGATAATTCATTGTGAGAATATAAGATAGTCTCCTCTGGGTTTGCAAAGACAGAACTGAAATAATTAGAGAAAAAGCTCACATATTTCTTTTTCATCGGAGGAGGTGTGATTACCATATTTCATCGTTTTGGGAATGCTATTAGCATTATTTTTCTTGTCATTGACAAAACGCCAAAAGAATTTTATGTCGTCATCTAAAGAAGATTCGACGGACGATACAAAATTTTTATAGTCATTTTTAATAAGTTTTTTACATCTGTTGCGTAACATGGAAAATGTATCATAATCCCGAGGATTCTTATATTTTTTGAAACGACGATGATATTTTAGTTTTTCTTCTAAGCTTTGCCTTAAAGCAGGTGTGAACCATACTGGATAGTTGTTTGTGTCAATTTTGGTCATAGGTGTATGTTTTGCAATAATATTCCTAAGCTCTGCGTAAAATGCGTCAGTCATGCTATCAATATCTTTATGAATTGACAAGATATTATGCCATTTAACTGATTTTAATTCAAGATTTATTTTTGAATAATTGCTTTTGAAAAAAATTTGGTCGTTTTTGTTTTTTGTTTTTAAAATTATTTGAGTTTATTTCAACAAGATTAATGTTATCTGCAACTAATGAGGGGTGGTAGTTATCTAAGCGACTCAATGGCTCCACTTCATAAACCTGAATGCTGTTCGAACTGAAAAGAATTAGGTCTAAAAATCGTCCGTTGTTATTTGATATACTGTTATAATTATCAAGGTTACATATTCTAAGGGTATCACAAAGCAGATTAGCTTTTTGACCTCGCGGGTGAAGAGGAATCATATAATTATACTGTGATGATTTGGACCAGTCAACGTCGGGTATATTAAAATCCCCTATACAAAGAAATTCTTCTGTGTTGCGATATCGCATAATTACGTTTTGACAGTTTGTAAAAAATTTATCGATGCAGTCTAAAGGCAGATCTGGCGGAAGATAACAGAGACAAATATTAATAATTTTAACATTAGTGGCTTTTGGCAATATACTGATCCACAAGTCTTCTAGCTCACTATTCCAGGAAACTTGATAAATAAAATTTATTTCTTTTTTAACGGCAATTAGAATTCCCCCGCCCTCAGATTTACGTGCATTTGATTGATATCTGTCGCGCCTTACAACATTATAGCGAGTGTCAATGAGTTCACCGTCAAAAATAGTGCTATTTAAGTTTGTTTCAGTTATACAGATAATGTCATAATCATTATTAAGTACATTAAGATAGAACTCTTTTGTTTTTGATCTTAAGCGATTAACATTTTGATAATAAATTAACATTATACAAGACTAAAATTCCCAAATACATAAATCAAATATAGCAACAGAAAAAAATTGTGATATTATGACAGCTTGTTTAAGCATTCAATATTTCTAATGTGTATGCAGGCCGCAGTGTCTTCCTTACGAATATATATACGTCCGAACTTAACCCATACATACTTATATTTCTTCTCCTTTGCAAAATTTCTGGCAGCAGCATGAAGAGCCTTACATTCCGGAGAAAGATGTTCAGTCACATAAATTTTTCGCTTTTCGCAATTTAATCCGATGTTGTTGGTATTCAAGGGATTGTCTTTATTGGCTTTATTATAACGATAACATGCGGAGAGAACTTGGTCCCGTAAGCGTGGGTTGATGAGAGTTACAAGAATATTTCTAGGGCGTTCGGAGGAGATGTCGTATTTGGCAACTCTACGGCAAGAATGAATGTTCTCATCATCTATTTGAATATTTACTGTTTTACACAGGTTGCGGAATAACAACATTGGATTTTCATTTCGACTTTCTGGTACTAACTGAATTTCAATATTTTTGCTACGGGAAATTTTTTCAATTGATGTTAAACGATTGGTCAGAACATTAATCTCCTTTTGAAATCGCAGAGTTTCAGATTCTAGGTGTTTTATTATGTGACTCTTATTTTCAATTTCTTGCTTTAGGGAAGACTGTTCATCACATATAAAGTTAGTGGTTACAGTAAAATCGTCTTTAAGCTGCTGCACAACTGAGTCCATCTCCGCTTGTACTAGGTTTTTGACGTCATCCTTCAATGCTTTTCTAAAACTTTCCACGAAATCCGATAGATAATTATTAAGTTTTTTATCCAATAAAGTACTAATTTTACCCATGGTGACGAGATTGTCGTCGTTTGAGGAAAATAATTGGGAATCGGTTGATGAACAGCTTGAATTTTCAAGGGGCGAATTCAATGGTTTCTCTACGAGTGGTACAAGCGTTTGTTGGACAGGCGTATTGACATTCGATTGTTTACGTTTAGTTATATTACTACAAGATGGACACATCCACTTTGATTTATATTCAGTAGTCAAAGCCGTAAATTGTTCTTTACTTAAATTTAGGCACTCAATATGATATTTTGAACGACAGTGATTACATGCTAAGTAGCGGTCAGTGCGAAGTAGCTTCTTATTGCAGGCAGAGCAATTCATATTAATTGTTTTGCTAATCTCAAACTAAGTAATTTTTGTAAATAAAGTTAAAAAAGACCTCAACCGTTGGGATTCGATCTAACGCTTCTTATACTTATTTTCTTGTTGCGTTAATGCGTAAGCCACAGCGCCAACTGCTCGCTGATATACACTTTGAATAAGCGATTCACTTTACGGAGATAAATGTTCGTTGTATTGGTCTAAACAGAAGACATTTGCAACTATTTTTGTCAAGACTTGCATTCAATAATTGCGTTCAATTTTTTTACTTGTATCTACGTGTAAACAGTTGCGTACAATTCTTGAAGGGCAATTAACGCACTTAATTTATTGCATTCAATAATTGCACTTGAATATACAAGAAAATTTTATCGTCTAAATCACGCCTTAGTCGAGTCATAGTTTCCATGATATACACGATGGCATTATTGTTTTATTCTTGTGGATGGATATCTGCAACGGTCAATGCTGTTGATCTTGCTGCTGCCAGCCACTTTTCCTGCATACTCTCCTCTTTGAGTTCCACTAGTAAGCTTTCATCTTGCTCTCCTCCCCCTCACAGCCTAAGTGATTTCTTGATCCCGGTTTTGGGTAAGTTTAACTTCATAGCCAAATTTTTGACTAGGTTTTCCACTTTCTTATTTTTATGCCAGGGTACATTTGCAACTTCTATCTGCTTTGAGAGTTTTTCTTGTTCCAGCGCTTGAATTTGTTGTTCTAAGACGCCCACCCTGGTTTCCAAGTTGTTATTTTTGTTACTTAGTTCAGTGTTTTTTTTTTTCAAAATTTTTGATGGTTAATGAAATGAAATGTTTGTTTGAATCTTTCTATACATCCCATTACTTCATCAAGTTTGGCACAATAAAGCTGTAGGGAGTCGTTTACTTGCCTCATTTCATTTATTATGGTTTTTTCTACTTCCCTTCAGATGTCCTTTAGTAGTTTCGCAGAGTCGAGTTCAGCTAGAATTTCAACATCCTCTTCATCATCGTCCTCTGGTACAAATATTGAAGATTTACGCTTCGATGACTCCTGCACACATTCCAGGTATGTCCATCCCAATCCAGGAGATGCTGCTTTAAGAGCATTGAGCTGCTTATTGGTTAATCCAGTGTATTTTGTGCTGATATGTACTAAACGCTCACATTTGTTGCATTCCACTCCTGGGGAACTTTTTGTAATAGATTTATCACAGTTGTCGCACTTGGTAGACATAGTAGGTAGTTTCGAAAAAAATATTTAGTTAAACAATAGAAGCTCACTCGGTTATCGATAGGTGCAATGCACACGACGTTTCGGCGGTGAATGATGTTCTGCTCTTTTTAGTTTAGTGGCACGATAAGTGATATTTTATTTTGGAATATTTTAAATGTAAAAATAAAGTTTATCAATAAATTGACTACATCGCCACTTACTTGGGTCTAGATTTTGTTATGTTCTTTTAGGCACTAAACTACAGAAGTCTTAATAATATTGCCTTGCCTTATTATTTAGATTTTTGTGCAATGAACCTTATAAATATAATATAAAACATGACAGGAATATGTGTTATTTTGTTTCATATAATTTCTCTCAGATCCCAGCAGTAACAGTCGATTTTTCAAAACACATGTTTGGTGTAAAATGCAGTGGTTTTGTTATTTGGATTAGTTATAAGGATAATCCTACTGCCCATCTTCTGATTAATTTTCCTTCTGTCCTCTCTTATGAACCCACGCGTTGATAATATGGGGTAACGGATATTTCCACCGCTATTATACGGAAAAGTATATTACATAGTAAATTATGATGTAAAAAGATTGACGTTAAGCATTATTTGAAATTTATATTTAAATGAAGCAACAAAAATTACCGACGTTTCCCAACTGCCAACCTGTTAGTTATTTATTTATTTTACTAGTTTAATGGTAACTTTCTCTTAAGACAGTAAAATCATGAAGTATTATTTTCATACGCACGAGATATTTAAAATGTGTATTAACATCATATTATTATCATTATTTAATTCCATGTTTGCACTTAGTTATGCTGTAGAAGTATATTACAATGTCACTTTTTACTATTTGTTATTAAAGAAAATTACTCAGGGCCACGGTGTTGGCTCTACACTAACGAAAACTGTCTGCGTATCGCAATGGTCATAAGCAAATCATTCTAGTTATGGTTCATAAAAGATAGCTTGATCTCTGCGACAGCTGTCAGTAAAAATCACGCCTATGAAGTCCTGAATTTCTTAGTAGTACAGACAGTACCTGTCAATGTCATACTTTAAGGGCATGCACTAATTAGGTCGGTATGCACATGAAGTATGAAATTGACAGGTACTGTCTGTACTACTAAGAAATTCAGGACTTCATAGGCGTGATTTTTACTGACAGCTGTCGCAGAGATCAAGCTATATTTTATGAACTATAGGTACACCAAGACTTATATCCAACGATAGATTGCAAATGGGTGATCAAGAAGAAACACTTCCTACACACAGGTGGCAAGAGCAAGGAGGTGACAAGGAATATTTACATCGCTACAAAACGCCGTATATAGGAAATAAAGACTGATTTCCTAACTTAAAGAGCATCATTGTGCGAGACGTCTTTTAGACATTAAGTTCTTCTTTTACATACAAAACATATCCTTGTCCGAGTTTCGCACGGCGGAAAAAATATTTTTTTTTCAGGAGTTACATCTATTTAGATAAGCTTGTAAAATAAAACATTATCTTAACACAAAATTTCATTCAAATCCTTAGATGACATTTTGTATTTACAAAATATGTATATTAATTTATATAGCTAATGATAACAAAAAACCAATACCATGATTCACATTTATAATAGGTACATATACATACATATTATAAATGTGGTATTGATTTTGTAGCTATTATATAACGGTTGCAATAAGATTCAGGTTACCACATTTATTTAGCTTTTTTTGTTGACTAGCTTAAAAACAAAATTCATTTTTTATTTCGAGTGCAAATTCAATGTTCGATTTTGTAATACAATACACAAGTATTTTTATTTGAAAGTTGTTAGAACAAATAACATTAGCATAGTTATCGAACGCGCCGGTATAAGACCTTCATAAAGGTCCCGTTGGGACTAGGATGGCTCTTAAACCCGCCTTCTGATAATGATTATCGATGATTCGACCTAAAATGCGAACCCCAACACAATATTATTACATAGTCTTGTCGTTTAGGGGGTTAGGATTGGGCAACAGTCGCAATAAAATCCTATCAAAAAAATCTGGGAAAAATAAAATTTTGTACTGAAGTAACTCACCAAATTTTTTGTAAAGATATGTTTTTAACTATCTGCAAGTATTTACAAGGACTATTGTTATTAAAATATGAGCAACTGATTAGTGAAATTTAATCTGTTTTAATATTTTTATTGAGTGTAGGTTTATTTTTTAAGTTTAATTTGTCCTGACTATAGTCCACACATGTGTCAAAACAAAAATTTTAGTCTGTTTTCTGGCCTCAAGGTTAAAAAACCCAAAATAATTATAGGTTGTGCGGCATTCCATCTTAGCCCTCAGAGGTGACAACGTATCCATAGCCTTCTTTATTTGAAGTTGGCTGCATGTCTTAATAAACTATTGAAAAAATATAAAATAAGTTTTTTGGTAGGCTGATATTAGTAGTTTTCTTATATTTGAACAAAGCTCTATGGAAAAATGAAGAATAATTTGTGCTAGTCAACGTTCGGAATACAAAATAATATCACTAGGTGTGGTGGCAGCCATGGTAAATCATCTTAAAGAAAAATTCTTGGAAGCTTGGGTATTATTTTAAATAGTTCAAAGAGGAAACATTTTTGATACGCATGTATCGGTATAATATATTTAATAAAACCATCTATAAAATTTTTAGTTTCCGTCTAAATAATTGCTCTTTAATAATTTTGTAGATACTAGCGATCTGCCCCGGCTTCGTATGGGTGCTATCTGGATTCTACAACAGCGCCACCTAACAGGTCCAACTATGCATACAACCTTCACGGACGTGCAAGCAATGTTTTGACAATCATCATCATTACATCATTACAGCCCTTCACAATTCCACTGCTGAACATAGACCTCCCCCAAGTAATGCCACAAAGCACAGTCCCGATCACCTGCATCCATCGACTTCCTGCATATCTTACCAGGTTGTCACTCCATCTAGTGGGGGGGTCGCCCTACAATACGCCTACCGGTACGAAGCAGACACTCGAGAACCTTTCTTCCCCATCGCTTATCGGATCTTCGAGCTATATGGCCGGCCCATTGCCACTTCAGCTTACTAATTCTACTAAACTTTACTTTTTTTTTACTCAAACAAAACAATTTGGTACAAAGGCGAACTTAGCTAACCTTTTGTAGTGTGGTGAGAGCTATGGCTAGAGCCGCGAGAGAAAGAAAAACTAACTTATTTATTCATACTATTCAAAACGCATTATATAATATTATGTATGTGTTAGTTTATACATATATACACTTATACACACACACACACTATATATATATATATATATATATATATATATATATTTAAATAAAATATATACTAAGCCAATAAAGCATACAATATAGTATACGAAATTATAATAAACCTAATCAATAAAATTAATCAAGCAATTTTAATTATATGCCTCAAGCTTACGTTTAAATGTATTTTTGAAGGAGCATCT